ACCGCTGTACCGCAGCACCGCTGCACGGTTGCTTGGGGATTAGGGAAACTGTCAACAACATCGGAGAATTTCAACAACATTGGAGGTATTTTCAAAATACCTTTTTATAAGACAACGCGCAGTGAAATAGGAGGAACTAGGAGTTTAGGATGTTAGGAGTTTATTTTGCCATAAGGTAGTATGATTATGCATGACACGAAGTATTTGCTAGTCTAGTACTGGATAAATTAGCGTTTGGATGCGCATTGTGAATGTGAGCCTTTAATGTGAAAAGTAAATCGTTGGCGTGGCCGGAGAAAAAGTTCTGTCTGTCTCTTTGAATTTCGTACGATAACAAGGGCTTTTTCATTTATTATTTTTATCCGAAAGCAAGTGGCTTTCCTCAAAAGCAAATAAATTTTCATCAAATGAATTTGCATCAAGAGCAGATACGGTTATCTTTATTGTTTTGTTGTCTATCTTGTGTTATTGTGTTATTGTTATGGTGTCTGTCCTGAGTTACTCTGTCGCATTATTATCTATCTATTTTATATTGTTATGCATAACTCACATAATGGTATACAAGGAGATGCATCTTTTCAAACATACCCTCTTTTTATTCACGCATCACGAGTAAAGAGCGTCTATTGTCTTTTGCGAGTGAAAGTAGACCGTGTTTTTGCAGACTGATCGATATCTTGTTGGTTTTCCGACTCGTATTCTCACAGCTGGCTGTTCTATCGGTATACCGATAATGTAAAATCTCATACAATTACACTCCACACAGTGTGCGCATTCACCGTTATCCTCCGTTCTTATGCATTCATAAAATAGGCCCACATCTTATTGTAGTGCTCTATACTAGACCGGGGGGGGGGGGAACCGGCATTGTCTGCACCCGTTTCGATGCACTTAGCGGTTCGTTTAAGCTGAATGCCTGGAGGACGATTTTAAGCGAAAAAAAAACATCCGAAGATTCCCGGATTGATTTTCCCAGTATTTTCTGCAGAACTGTCTGCGGACGGCCTTGGAGGGAATTTCGCTGGGTATTTCGAGGGTGCTGAGTACGGGTTGCGGTGATGAATGGCTCGTCAGGAACGGCCGGTGTGGTGATGAACGGCCTGGTGTTGTGTTACGCACCGATATACGGGCTAGAGCACTCGGCTAGAGCACAGCAGCAGCAGCAGCAGCAGCAGTGCTGGCTGGCTGCACAGCAGGGTGTGGGGGGTGTTTGTGGATGTTTATGTAAACACGCCCCTTCTAGGGTGAATCACCGGCCTGGGTTATCAGCGGATGTGCGCTCGCTCGGTAGCAGGCTAGTAGCTGTATCGCTGTGGATAACGTCTGTGTGTCTACGCCCCTGCTACTGCTACTGGTGCTACTGCTGCTGGTGCAGCTGCTGCTGCTGGTGCTACTGCTG